GCATAGAGCCATCCACCCTACTGATTGCCAAAGAGGATCCCTGAGAGCCATCAGTGGGCTCGATAACATACTGATCCGGAAACTCCCACAGCCTCATTCGTGTGTACAGCTTCTGCCCAGAGTCTGCCTTCTCCATCATATTACTTGGGTAAAAATCCAAATCACTGAAAAATTAACCGATCACAAACAGAACCCAACATTTAAATTTCCATTATTTCAAATCTTTTGTCCAATAACAGCATTAAAATTGGACACATGGAGAACCCAGTATTTCAAATTTCCTAAAGTTCAAATCTTTATTCCAAAAAGTAAGGAATAACGAATACATGAACAGTGGCCAGCATTGCAATTTGGTAAATTACCTTTTCAAGGATCACCAAGTGAAAGCGCGTGGTAAAAGTGAAAGAGCAAAAACTGAGACCCAAATCTCTCTCAAAATTCTTGTGAGAAATGGAAGATCAAAGAGCAAAGCTAGAGCTTTTGGGGGTTGGTCTGAGATTTTGACAAAGTAAAAGAAAGAAGGGTTTGTGAGGGTAAGGCCGTGTTTGCCTGCGTGTCTCATAAGACGCATAGACCGGTAACGGACTGTCTCTCTACTCTCTCGTCCAAAGCTTTAACGGAATTTTGGGCGGAAACTACCAACTGTTTTTGCCCAAAACAGTGCTGGAGAAAGGAACTTTGCCCAAGAAATTAATCAGAATACAAGAATATTAATAAAACATGAAACGAAAACGAACGTGGTAGATAGTGATTGGGCCGTCCTCTAGTATTTTGAGGCCCAGGAGACCAAATCACTTGCTATTATTTGTATGTGTGCGGCCTTTCAGTTCACTAGCCTCTCCACACGCACTAACGTGCGTGTGAGATGCATTTTTGCATCACGGGCGCTACGCGCCCCTAAAGATGTATTGTGTTAGTTTTTTTCCATTGTAATTGTCAAGATATACTTTAAATGTATTGTGCAAATATGAACTTTTTTTTTTACCATACACGTCCTAAAAAGTTATAATGGTTATCATTTTACTTTACGTAAAGTAATGATTTAAATGTTATTCATTCTCATGCGAGAGACATTTTTTCATCACAGGAGCTACATGCCTCTAGGAATGTATTGCTTTAGTTGTTTTCTTATTTGCCCATCCAAAATTTTAAACTTTGAAATACTAACACTCATATTCTTTACCATGTAAGTCCTAAAAAGTTGTCATGTTTTTCGTTTTCACTTTGGGTAAGAGAGAGGCTTTTACCTGTTATTGATAAGTGCCCCCTAAGATATGTACTCTCTCATACATAGCAGTGTCTTTACCTGTCTTATCTAACATTACCTTCGCAAGCATGTTATATTAACTTCTTTTCTCTAATATTACCTTCGCAAGCATGTTCCTAACCCTTCGAGACTATGGATGTTGAAATGCATCGAAGTTTCAACTAATGAGAAGATATGTGACATTTACTAACATTTAACAAACAATATTGTATATATTTACCATGACCATAGTACAACATAAACTTACACCTTAATCCATGTGATAAGGAGTAGTATTTTACAATATAAAGCTATCAATCTCATTGTTTATTTGAACCATCTCTCCATAATTGTTTCCTGTACAAATTTGTGGCTGATCCTGCAATTGAAAAACCCAAATGTGCAGTAAAAACAACCAAGAGAAAACAGAAGCTAAAAGAAATCACACTAAAAAAAATCAATTGAAATTAAGCAATCACTGTGCACTTGATCGACCCTAAGGTGACATACAAATGCCAATTGCCAAAAAATTTAAGAAACCATTTTGAAATTAAGCAAACATTATTCTAATAAGAAAAAAACCTCAAATGTACAGTATAATTGAAATTAACTCCATTTGGAGGGAATTAAAGAATGCCAAAACCACAATAACTTCATATTACATTAAACATTTTGACTAATATGTTATAAGCACAACCAACTCATCCATATTAAGAACCCAACAGAAACATAAACCAAATGATGCAATCTGCCAATTAATTGTTCCGTGCATCAACTTGTGAACGAAAGGAAAGATATGAACAGAAAATAAATTCAACAAAACTGGAAAAATGAAGAGAGAAGAAATTCCACTTATGAAAGGTGGTTAGAAAAAAAAACCAAAATCAATCAAAGTGGAAGAAATTCCACGACCGACCTGCGTATTTATCCTATACAGCATTCGTTGTCAAACTCTTTAGTCAAAGCACTACACATTGCTTATATCTGTGAGATGAATACGACAAACATTTGAGGTTGAATTAGTGAATCTCAAATACACTGGAAAAGAGAAAATGCAGACCACATCTTGATCAACAAAATTAGAGAAAATGGCAGATAAAAAAATAGAAAGGGAGATCGATTAGGTACTCATGATTAAAGGAAGATTAGAAATTTCATAAAAATAAAAAGAAGAATTGAAAGAAAAATCAAATGTAGAAGAAAATTCCATTAATTGATAAAACACTCACGATTTGTCAGATTCTTACAGCCTTACAGGAAGCTTTGCACTATGCACTTTTTTTGCCTGAAGCAGCAAAAAGCCCACTCCTCACATCATGATCGCCACAATTTAAAGAAGTCGAAGTAGTACAAAGTCTTGGTAGAACAAAATTGAAAACATAAAGCATAAACCCAATAAGAGTCATAAACTAATGAAGAAAAAATTTGAAAATTTTCAAACTACTAACCCTACAATATTGTCTCGCCCACACAACACACATCACATTTATCTCCACTGCCTGCACTGATTCAAATGATTTGAAACCTAATGGCAAAAGCACGATAAATAATTGGAAAATGGATTAATATAAACAAAAACTCCCCGGAGCCAAGAGTTTCCCAACAATCATACATGAAAATAGAAGGAAAAATGAATTTGGTTAATGGTGGACAACCACTGGAAAGAATGCAGAGATCATGGAGAATCCGAGATTGAAAGTTACCTACGATAAGAATCAGTTGATGTAGAGGAAGAGTCTTTGTCAATATATCTACCTGTCTGTTTCTCCCTTCCCATCGTTTTCTTCTTCTTGATTTCTGCATGACTACAAATAAACTACAAAAATTAATATGAAACTAAACTTACCCAATGAAATTTGAACACAATGAATTACTTCTCCATTATAGTTCATTTCCAAATCCTACTACTTTGAGAGGATTTAAAATACCCCGTTTTCTAAAAATTTGGAATCTCTAATAACTGAAGAATCACACTATGCAAAACCCAAGTCGTTTATTAGGACGAAGAATCTCAAAAGCCTCAGAATTTGAAATCTCATATTTCAATGTAATTTCTCTAATTGAAAACCCAACAATAATAATCCAATCGAAATTGATTGTAAAGACAAAAATCGAAGGAATTTAGGAAAAATCACCTGAAATCTTGTCTAAATCGAGTGTGGATGTCGAAGGAACTTCAAAAAAACACAAAGAAGAGGGGTCTATGCGGAAGACAAAAATGGGTTCGTTTCTTCCGGTGTATGACGTGTTGTTCACTCTAGAACGTGTAGCAGATGGTGGTTCCATCTCCTCTAGTGTTTACAACCGTTGCGGTTCGATGTGGTGTTCGAGAGTTCTACTCTTTCGTGGAGGGTTTTTTTTTTTTTTTTTTTTTTTTTTCGGAAAGATAGGACACAATGCAGTATTTGTGGGAGGATTAATCCAAGGGTCAAAATGAATTTGAAGTGCAAGTATTTTCATCCCGGTGGTTGTCAATTGTTGTAGTTAAGATGGGTGTTTATATTATTAGCATCGGATAATTTTACATTTTATAATAACTTTTAAATTGTACGATATTACAATTTTGATCTTAATTTTATTGGATAGTTAACGTTGGTATAGTGTATGAAGTGAAGGCATTTTTAGCATTTTGAAAAGCTTCACCGATTTGGGCTCTCCCTTTATATATATAGATAAGATATATAATATATATATATATATATATATATATATATATAGATACATAGATATAGATTTTTTTTTTGGTGAGATATTAAACACTCTCGCTCTCCTAAAATGGAGGAGGAGTGGTGTTAGTTGGTTATTATATCTTATTTTGTTTTTTTTTTCTCTGAAAACTGATTTGGGTCGAACGTGGTTGAATTTGTGTCTTCCACGTTTGTTCTTTTGAATTTTATCTCTTTTTTTTTTCTTTTGGGTTAAATTCATTTTGCCTCCTGAGTGATCTGACCTCCCGGACCCTGCAACAAACTAAGGAATATGAAGAGGAGGTTTGGCGTGAAAAAGCTTTAAAAAATGGAAGAGAAGTTAGAGGACGTTTTTTTTGGGGGGGGGGAGGGAGGGAGGAAACGAATGAGGGAGTTCTATAACCGTAAAACTCTGTTGTGGATAATTATCATCATTTTTTTTGTTAATTTAAATAGTTAGTTTTAATTCTAAAGTAGAGATATATTTTTTTAATACAGATTTTTTTAGTTATGGTTTTTTTACTAATTTGTCCTCATTTTCTGGATTTGGATTGTGAAGAAAAGAAATGGGCTTTCTTGGTATTTTTGAATGTTTCACCAAACTGGGGCTCTCACTTTATATTTCAGTTCATTAATGATCGCGAATTAAGTTTATGATAATGAAAGTGAAGTGTTATTGGCATTTCAAAAATTTCATTCTACATTTTTTATAAATGTATTTTTTTTCTTCTAAATATAGAAAGTTTGGGGGTAGAATAATAACTTTGGAGTGCCAATAACAATTCCTTAATAAAATGAGTAAATGAGTAAATTACATAAAACTACTTCAATTATAAGGTTAATCACAATTTCATACTCAATCTTTAAAACATTTCAATGTCATACCTTATCTTACGAATTTGTTCAATGTCATACCTTTTGTCTATCAATCATCTGTTAAATGGTGACGTGGCTTGAGGCGGGATCCATTCTCTATTAAAAATTTAATTAAATATTAAAAACTAAAAAATAATAATAATAATTTAATATTTTTTTTAAATGAGGGGTCCACCCCTACAACCCCTTATTCGGTTCTTCACATGTCCCCCAACCTTCCTTCACTACCTTTTCCCTCTCCACGTTGACGAGGAACACCACACCGAAAACGTCGTCCTATCCGACACCCCCAACCCCCTCGCCACCAGCTCGTGCGGCGGCAGCATCTCGTCGTCTCCCTCGTCCCCCTCATCCACCACATCAACCAGACCATCGTTTCTACGGTGCTTCTCCACCGCCCGGGATAGAACCAACACCATTATCGGGGCCGAGTTCTGGAGCTTTCTCGAATTTGGAACCGACTGGGACGGCAAAAGTCTCGGAATTGAAGGGATGGGCTTCGACAATGACGAAATTGTCGGCTTTCGGTACAACACTTGTGCCGATTGACTCAGTTCTGGGAGGACCGCGAATATTCTGAAATTGACGCGACGAGTTAGACTAAGGCGGGGGTTTGGGGTGTTAACGGCGGGCTCGGTGAAATCGGTGGTCCAGAAGACCTCGGCGTTGTTGAGCTTCTCGCCCGCGGCGGTGGACGAAGGCGGAGAGAAGGAGAAGAGGCCGAGCAGCCGATCTGACGACGGCGATCACTAGCTGCAGAAGCTGGTAGAGGCCATGGTTGGGATTTTTGGGGGATAAAAAAAGGGGGGGGGGGAAAGGAGAAGATTTATGGGTTTTGATGTGGCGAAGGGACACGGAGTTTCGTAGAAATTGAATAGAAGAAAAGAGAAGGAAGGAAAAGCACCTGAAAATGTTAGGGGTGGGAGTTACTTTCAGGAAAAAAGAATGTGGTGGGCGATGTGGTGCTCCTCATCGGCGTGGAGATAGAGGAAGAGAGGGCGGCGGTGGGGTGGTGAAGGAAGGTTGGGGGGACACGGGAAGAACCGAAGAAGGGGTTGTAGGTGTGGGTCCCCCATTTAAAAAAATTATTAAATAATTTTATTTTTTAGTTTTTAATATTTAATTAATTTTTTAATAGAGGTTGTGTCCTGTCTCAAGTCACGTCAACATTTAACAGAGGAATTGACAGACAAACTGACGGAAGATATGACAACAAATTCGTAAAATAGGGTATGACATTGAAATGTTTTAAGGATGAAGTATGAAACTATAGTTGATCCAATAATTGAGATAGTTTTATGTAATTTAGCCTAATAAAATTGAAAACAATTATATTAACATGTGTCGATAGAAAGGCTATTTAAAATTTATACATTAAATGAGTGTAGAAAATTTAAACTCGAACTCACATACGTGGTCGTTTGTTGAAGTTGGATTTGAGACCGTTGAATTTGCAACTATTTGCTCAACTTGAACGGTTCTAATGCCAATTATTTTCTTTGTTGTATACCATTTTATTTCCCTTTTTTGGGTATTAACTACTTCCTTTAGTAAAAGCGCTTGTATAATTTTATTTAACGGTTAATACAAGATTCAAACGAAAATCAGCCCAACAACGTAACATGCATATATTAACAAAACATGGAAAAACAACATAATATATCAACAAGGATTTGAACTTCCCTTTGTAACACATGAATTGAACTTTCTTGGTTATTATTTAGGGTTACTTAAACACACAATATCTGAATCTCGTACTTCCACCGGCCTAAACTCTATCTCCTGCCACTAATCAGCAAACTGCGCGCACCGTCTTACTAAGGGCATATACATTCTAATCTTATGATCCGAATTTGCAAACAACAAAATTACCAGCAGATTATGTGATTCTATATGTATCTAATAAAAAAAAATAATCAAAACAAAATAAATAATAAAGGAATAGAGAAGTAATTAAGAAGCTTAGAACATAAATTGCGAGTACAGATACTTTGGATGCGGTCTCTAATCCTTAACATTCTTTGACTAAAACCTTAATGATATTCAAAGTTTGATCAACGTCCCTTGACTTTGTACACCTCATTATAGTACAATTAATATTTATAGTTTTATAGTTTTGACATTAATTGTTTGATATTTTATAAGATTTATAATCCTATAAATTTAAAGTCCCTCATTATAATACTATTAGAAACGGTTACAATAAAAAAAATTCAAACATTTTGATTGAATAAATGGATAAAAACAATTTAACAATAAGAAATAATAAATGGCAAAAGAATGTATCCATAGTGAGTGGTAAAAAAAAAATTGGTACATTAATAAAGAAGAATAGGTACATTATAAATAAATTAGGGTACAAATAAAAGATTAAAAAATTATGAGTACAAATGAATTTTTAAAAAATATAGGCGCTAAAAGAAATTAATACATGGGTACAAAATAAAACTAAAAAGAAAATACTACAAATTTAAAAAATTGTTGCAAATTAAAAGTGGGTACAAACTAAAAATATAAATATATGATACAAAGTTTAGGCATAAAACATAAATATACCATATGTAATTTTTCTATCATTGATTAAATATACAATGTCACGTGACGGTATACACATGGGTAAAAATAAATAAAACTTTAAAAAATATGGGCACAAAAAGAAACTAATATATGGTACAAATTAAAAATGAAAAAAAAAATTGGTATTAAAAATAGGTACAAACTAAAAATAAAAATATATGATAAAAAATTTAGCCATAAATATAAATATATTAATTGTAACATTTTTAACACTAAAGGAATATATTTAAAAATAAAAATATTTTATTATTCAAATAATTAATGATGTTATTAATATCCAAGGACCTTGATAAAAATTTGAAAATGAATAGGATTTTAATCAATGGAGTAACAAAAAGAAGGATGTGAACCTAATTTCTCCTTGAGAGTAATACTCATACTGTTATTCATACGACCTGCCAATCTACACCGATTAACAGAAGCGGGGATTTAAAGTCATTCATGAAACTACTCAAACATACTACAATCACAGAGAATAAACTAGAATGAATTTTACGCTTATTAACGTACGTACAACTACAACCCTTGTATACGAACTGCAGTTTTACGTACGATCCATGCCAGATGCGCATAATTGCATACTTCTACTGTAATTGATCTTTTAGGCCTCAGCACCACCACCACTGTCGCCACTGTCCCTGTTGTCATCAATAACATCATCATCATCATCATCCGGTGGGGGCATGTTTAGGTCAATTCCACCACGGCCTTCATTGTCCTCCTCCACATCCCTAGCCTCGCGCACATTTGCAGCATTACTTGCTTCCCCTACACAACATAAAAATTGTTAACATAAACCAAGAACATCATCCATGATACAAAGCAAACTAAAAAAGTATTTAATTTCATTTCATTGCGCATGCATTGCGTTTAAATTTCATGCAGTACTGGACTTGATAGAGATTTAGGGCCAACTAATTACCTTGTTGCTGTCCTGGGGGTGGGAAGGCGCCTCTATAGGGACGCTCCGGGTGGCTACGCTGATGCCCAAACAATGCTTTCCACGAACTGAAATCCGATCGATTGCACACGGGGCAAGTCGGGGTCATTCCTTCAGGGGCTTTAACCTCGGCTTTACGCTTGCCGAGCTGGCCACCCACGGCCATGCTCCCCGCTGCGGCAAGTCTCCCTCCTAAAGAGATTTCAACCCTGACGGGAGTGAAACTACTCCCACCAATTTGAGAGATGTTTCCCCCTGCAGGAGAGGACCCTCTTCCTAAAGAAGAGGGTGATCCTCTCCCACTAGGAGGAGATTTTGATCCCCTGCTAGGAGTCCTCCGGCCACCAGAGGGTGAGCCCCTTCTTGGTGTGGATGTCCCCCTACTAGGAGAGGGAGATCCATGGCCTGGAGATCCTTTGTTGGGCCCGGGAGGAGTCACAGAGGACCCTCCGGTAGCAAACCCTCCAACATTGAATTGGCCAGTGGTAAGATGAGTACGAACAGGAGGAGTTCCAGAGGACCTTAGGAACCCGCCATCCCCTCCTCCCGCATTAACTTGACCAGTGCTATGAGGAGGAGGAGGAGTAGGAGTAGGAGTCCGAGCATGAGTGCTTGGTGGAGTAGTAGGAGCAGCCCCAGTAACGTTGGAACTAACGTTCTCGTTACGGGGTTGCTGTCCCTCTGCGGAGGAGCCCTGGTTAGTGGTGGTGGTGGTGTCCTTGGAGTTAGTCATATTGATATTAGCCTCTTGGGAGCGATAAAACACTGCGTCCGAACAGCGAAGTGTTCATGATGCCCTGACAGTTTATATAATTAGGGTTTCTTGGCAACCAGATTGGCACTGTTCTGTACAAAAAGATACACTGCATCTGCAATGCATGCGACTCTTCGTCTGTGAAAATGCTGGGAATCATCACTTGCAGCGCGCCATTTCTCCAAAGGGTTGTGCTCTTTCATTATCGGCCGTTGATTCGCGTATAAACTCAACGGACGGTGCTCGATGGTTGTCATGCATGAAGGCACCGCCACATTGCAAATCCTGATTGGATGGCATTTCATTGTTTTAGGGAGCAGGGAAATGAACCGGTTGGTATGAGCGGGAACGAAGCTTGGGTGAGTGAAATGACAATTGTGACCTTGAGGTCTCACGTGTATCATATTAAATTGATATAATCAGGGCAAATATAGTATGACATGCAAAAGGAAACCTGAAAACTTAATCACGTAGCAACTTCCATATTTGTTCATGTGTGAGCCCATGTCTCAGATGGATTATACATTGCACCTCTAATTCAAATTTAAGAGGGTGGTGAGCATGTAATTGCTTATTTAAAGGAAATACTTAAAGAATAAATTATATCTACTTTATTTAGGGACAAGCATTGGGTGGGTTGGTCAATTGGACTTCAACCCATTGGTCTACCCAACATGCTCGGGTTGAAATTGTTCAAACTTATTTTCACTCTAGAAAATGGGCAAATCAACCCACCCAAACCATTCTAAGGCAGCCAGTTAGGTTGCGCAAGTTTCATGAGGTGGGCTTAATTGGTTCCCTTCTTAAATTTAATGCGAGTATGAGCAACAAATAATCAATACTTCTGTTAAATTAAACTTAAATAATGTGAATTGGTTTTTGTTATATCACTTCATATTACTACTACATAATTTCACTATCAAATATTAAGTTAATAAACAAAGGCTTTTAAAAGTTAATAAATTTTGTGTACAATTCAATCCAACATGCATGTATGTTTAAGAATTTGTTGAGTCAGTTTCAATCGGGTTAATAATACTTCAACTTAGCTTATTGAAAAGTGGTCAGGTTTTTACTCGTAAATAAATTATTAATGTTTATAATCCAACTCAACCCAACCCATATACGATGGGTTGGTCAAGTTAGTTGATAAACCCACAAAATGTCCACTCTTATACTTTACGGGAATAGAGATTCAAATTTGAATGCAAGATGCGAGCCACATTACCCTAATCAAGGCGTATAACCCATATTTGCTAGTCAACATTGTAAATTAAGTTTAACCTCTCTATGTACTTGTATTTTCTTTGTGGTACGACATTAAATTAAAAATACAAAATATACATGACCTTTTAAATAATGAGGTGGCTAATTTCAATTACAACGTACCACTAATCTATTGCATGTCATTTCCTAAAAAAAAAAAATTAAATAAAAAATCACTACAACTCACGTTTGGTTGAATTGGATATTTG